GGGTTCAATCTCCATCTGCGGCGGACGCAGGCTCGCTCAAGAAGAGGGACGCGCAGGAACATTCTCTTGCCCATAGTCAGAGGCCTGCAGGGTGACGCTGAATGTAGTAATTAATAACCATGGGATCGTCCACTCCAAAATGATCAGCCATGATACCTGCAGTAGCTCTAAATTCTCTATTTTCCTCGTGGAACTGGTGGTGCAGCTAAGCTCGGCAGAGTGGAGGACGAACGGTGCATGGCTCATCAGGAACAACGCGCGCCATTCACATACCAGCTGCGCTACAGCGGATCCAGGGCTCCACATATCAGCCAAAGCTCCTGCCACCCTACTTCCTACATGCTGAGTCTTGTGGAACATCGTGTTTTTGAAGTTGAAAGCAATGTCAAGACGCCTGCTGACGAACCCGACATATGAGCAGTCGCTAAGTGCGGTCATACAAGGAAAGCGTATTGGATGGTTACCCAGCAGGAATGCAGCAAACTGCGTCCTCAATATGATGCTGAACTTGACAAACGCGGTATCCGGGCAGCCGTACATCAACTAACCTCCTATAAAACTTAAACGGTTTATTTATTTTCAATGCACGTTTTTCATCTAACGGTGCGCGATTTTCCTTCGAAACTTCCAGGGTTGGCAAGCATAAGTAGTTCGTGTAGCGAGAAGTAGTGAGCGTAGTCATGCGGACTTGCGATTATCGTGAAACTTTTGACACTGTGCAGCTCGTAGTTGGCGCCATTTCGATGTTACCCGCAGAGCGTTGAAGACCATAGACACGGACAGGTGATCCCGTTACTCTCTCAGCCACTGCTACAGCTGCAACAAAGTGTCCTTGGAATGTGCTGTCTGACACTGCAAAGTAGAGAGTAGGCCAATCACCAGTGAAAGCGAACGAGCAGAATGAGTACGGGAGTTTATTCGGCGAGCAAAACGTGAACCGGCGCGAGTTCAGTTACATTGTACAGAGTGCACTAACATATCATTATTCGTTCATGAGTAGCGACATCAAATCAATACTAGTCTGTTGAACGATGTCTTTCTTGTGCGTTTTAGGGCGTGTACCATGGTCGAGAGTGTGGACTAGCTGAATGGCGGCGGTCGGGGCACTGTTGACACTATCTAGCTCGTAGTGGCAATTCTTCAGCGTAAATCTTTTGGGCCCTCCGCATGGATTGAAGACTGTTGACCGGGATAGGTGAATCCCGTACTCGCTCATTTGCTGCTGGAGCTGCACCAAAGGCATCTGGGAATGCCCTTCAGCGGTCCTATTCAACTCTCTGCATGACATCGAAGTTTACTTCTCCCTGCTATTTCTTCCACATGTGCGCTGAGTAATGGTGCCCTTTCGCATGTAGACACTTTGATGATATATATTTATTTCTTGCACTGCTATAGTTGATATCAGCGAATTCAGCAGCCACGTGGGTGGTCTTGTGTCGACGAAACCATGCTTGGGGAGGAGATGTCGTTCTGTGCCCTTGACGTCCGTTCATTACGGTCGCCCACCACGGAGCTGCGCTCTCTCGTCTTCCATCGCGCACACGATTGCTCGGTGTGCATCACAATGCGTTTTTGTCGCAGTAGTCGTGCAGCTGCGCAGATTCGCCCACAATACCCACACAAAACACGAGAAGGCAACTACAGGGACAAGAAAATCTTTGATGGAGATGACAATCCTGATCAAGAGAGGGCTCGCACAATCGCCCGCTGCTTGCACAGTTCGGTTTCATTATCGTGACCTAAATGTGCTCTGAAACATTGCCCAGTCGCTTTGCCTCCTTATTATCTGCTAGAATATTCCTGATTTTCTGAAAAGAATACTGTGAAAAATTTATTTTGCGAAACGTACCAAGTTGCTTTGCAAA